TTGCAGCTTCGAGCTCTTTGTTCTCCTTATCGAGTTCATTGTTCTTCTGTTGCAAAGCCTTGATCTGTGCCATTAAATCGTTGATCTTGTCATGTAATTCATTTGGATCTTCGCCCTTTGGTTGTGAATTATTAACAGCTTCCTGCAAAGCTTTGATCTTAGCTGCTTGTTCAGCGATGACTTTGTTCATTTCATCGCCTTGTTGCATGCTACTTGTGTTAATGTTATCCAATGTTTCATGTAAATCAGAGTTTTCGCCAAGTAATTCTTGGATTCTCTTCTCAGCAGCTTTGAGTTTCTTATCGAGATCGCGTTGCTGGTTCTGAAGATCTTCGTTTTCTTTCTGTTTCTTGGCATTTTCTTGTTGTGAATCATCCAAATCCTTCTTCATTTGGTCACTCTTCTTTTGCAAATCATTGGATTTCTTCTGTAAATCATTGAGTTTGTTGGAAATATCATCTTTAGATGCTTCGGATTCAGAAAGTTCATCTTCGAGTTCTTTGATGCGAGAATTGGCATCGTCAAGTTGATTAGATTTCTTTTCAAGATCATTGACCTTACTTTGGAGTTCTTTAATCTTGTTGTCTTTGTCTTTGTTGAAATTATCAAGTTGTTCGTTTGTCTTAGATAATTCTTCTGATGCTGCTTTAGCTGTTTGAAGTTCTCTGTCTGCAGCTTTAGCTTGTGAATCAAGTTTGATTCTTTCTCTTGTTTCATCTGTGAGTTTCTTGTTGAGATCGTCACTTGTCTTCTCTAATTGGTCGTTCATAGCCTTCAGTCTTTCGTTTTCTCTTTCTGCCTTCTGTTTTTCGTTTTCGATGGCTGCAAGCTTTGATTTGAGATCAGTGAGTTCGTCATCGAGATTCTTCTTCTCTTCAAGATTGCTCTGGAGCTGGTTCTGAGCATTAGCAAGGCGTTCGTTTTCGCGCTGTGCCTTTGCAAGGTCTTTATCTTTGGCCTGGAGCTCATTTTGAGCGTTCTTTAGGTCTTCTTCTGATCCTTGCAACAACTTCTTGAGTTGGTCGATCTGGTTTTGCAATGCGCGGTTTTCGGCTTCCTTCTTGGCAAGTTCCTTCTCGTTCTCCTTCTTGTTGTCTTCATTGTTCTTCTTGAAATTGGCTGTTTGGTCACTTAACATCTTTCTAAGATTGGCCAATTCATCTCCTTGTTGTTCCTTGTCGGTATTGATGCTGTCGACTTGGTCTTGGAGAGCTTCGTTCTCTGTCTCGAGGTCTTTGTTCTTTCTTTTTGCATCGTTGAGCTTCTTTTCGGCATCTTTGAGCTCATTTTGCTTGGATTCGAGTTGTTTACGAAGGTTTTCAAGCTCGTTCTTGGCATTATCGAGTTGGTTTTGAAGATCATTGATAGCTTTATTATTGTCTTTGAGCTTGTTGTTGAGATCATTGATCTTTGCATCCTTATCCTTGAGAGTATCTTGAGCGTTAGCGTTCTGTTGTTGCTGGGAAGCTTCGACACCCTGAAGTTGGTTCTTGACGTCGGCTATTTCTGCCTCTTTATCCTTGATTTGTTTCTGAGCCTCGGCAAGAGAACGTTTAAGCTCATCAATCTGGTCTTGTAAGTTTTCGATTTGATTTTGAAGCTCTTTGTTCTTGGCGACTTCATCCTGGAGCTTTGGCTTGAGATCATTATTTTCTTTTTGTAATCTAGCAAACTCAACTTCCATTCCTGCGAGCTTACTTCTTGCGCCCTCTTCGGATTGGTTCTGTTGGTTCTCAAGAAGCTTGTATTTCTTGTCGGAATCTTCGAGTTTGTTCTTAAGATCGGAATTTGCATCGCGTTCTTTCTCCAAATCATCAAGAGCGGCTGCTTTTTGTTTGTTGGCGTCCTTTAAAGCATTGCGTAATTGATCCAACTGTTTATTCAAGTCATCAATATTTGCATTTGCTTCATCAAGATCATTCTTGGACTTGTTATCTTTGTCTTTAAGTAATTTCTTGAGTTTTTCGATTTCTGAGTCCTTATCTTTGCCTTCAAGATCTTTGTTTTCAATTTGCGATTTCAATTGCTGAGATTCGGCAGTTTGCTTATCGAGCTGATCTTGCAAACGCTTTAATTGATCTTGGAGATCGTTCTTTTGTTTTTCAAAATCTTGTTGTTGATTTTGAAGTTCTTTATTAAGTGCATCAATATCTTGATTGTATTTATTTTCTTGATCTGCATTTTGCTTCTTTTGGTTCTCTAATTCTTGCTTTGCTTTTTCTTGCATTCTTGTAAGTTTCTTCAAGCTCTTTGTTAAGTTGTCCATATCAGCAAGCTTTGGAGCCTGTTCTTGAAGCTGTTTCTTGAGATTTTCATTCTCAGCCGTTAAAGAATCAATCTTTGGATTCAAATCGTTAAGAGTATCCTTGAGTTTCTTTTCAGCTTCATCGAGTTTGTTATTAAGATTTTCAACTTCCTCGCCGCTCCTAGCGATAGCTTGTTCTCGGTCTTGTAATAATTTTGTTAATTGGTTATGTTTCTTAACAGCTTGTCTTAAAGTAGCTTCGTATTTAGCTTGATTTTCTTTGCTTTCTTTTATTTGATTGTCAGTTTGATTTTGACGCTCAGTAAGATATTCATCCAAATTCTTGCAGACGATTTCTAGACGAGGAAAAATCGACTTCGGATTCATTTGGAAAGACCTATCTTGAGCTGAGGACTTACCAATTTTCTGATCAATAATATCTATATCATCATGGACCTTTACTAGGCCATTTGTTAATTCCCATAGATACTGATTCTGAGATTTTTCGCTTTTAGAACCGTCAGTGGCATTAGAGGACCTCCGGTTCTCAGACATAGGATCCTGGGCTTTTTTTATAAAATTGGCTCTGAAAAAAAAATTTATTCAAAGAAAAAAAATTACAGTAATTTTACTGTTATTAGAAACTGTACCAAAAAATAAGATGATAACTCGGAAACGTTTATGGCGCCATTTTTATTTTCAAAAAACAGTAGAGCGATCAAAATATATGAAATGGAAATATGCATCCTTCAGGAATGAAATATTTAAAGTTTAAAAGTCAAATAAAGCACTTTTTGTTAAACGATATTAAGAATTCAGCAATATTTTGCAGCATTTGCAATGGTAATCTCATTAATGAGTATGGGAAAACGAATAGTGGATTAGTTTTTGGAAATAGGAACTTGTTATGTTGAGAAAAAAATGGATAAAAAGTTGATGTAAAATTTGAAAAAGTTTGAAAATGAGGAAATGATATGAGCACAAACATAGCAAAAGAGATTTCCCAATATATTTTTAAAAAAATTGACTGATAAATTTGCGTACAAAGATGTTGGAATTAAAAATCGCTCTCCAACATTTAATTTCAAAACTTAATGTGTTGGTCCCGTAGTGTAGCGGTTATCACTTGGGACTTTGAATCCCGAAATCCAGGTTCGACTCCTGGCGGGACCATGATTTTTATTTTCTGATTTAAACAAAGTGTCAATTCTGCCTATTCTTCTTTTTTATCTAAGAACTATCAATTCATAAAAGATCTACTATCATTAATGGTTAATCCAGATCCTATAGATATGATTTTATATCTATGACTATAATCAAGTTACCTTCATTCAAACAATCTTTAATCAATTAATCATTATTTACCAAGCTTGAGCATCACCTTACTTGAACAATTGCGAATTGGTCATTTCCGATTCATTTATTCATGTATACCTTTTTTAAATTGTTCCCGTTTTATTCACCTAACATAAAACTTTTTAATTGAATGTGCTTCAATGATATTTTTAAATGCGTATTGATTACATCTATAATTTTATGATATCGATCATATATTTCTATCAATTACAATTCATTCGCAAGATAATAGTATCAGATACTATTATTGACCAATGATATTGTGTATACCCACCATTATGGCCACATCTTATTCAATTATGTTTAGTAAAAAATCTTTTATTATCTATTTATTTTAATATTTAGGGAAAATTGAAATCGAATGTAATATACGCATGTGTTAAATTTTATGATTAATGCTTAGTAATATCATATTTAAGATATGGAGGCTTGAAACATGATTCCTAAAAAAAATAAAATTTTTTAGACAATTAGATGATTAACAATAAGATATCATTAACATATTAAAAATAGAAAAGTATTGTAGTATTATTATCTTTGAAAACCAGTTAAATGTATCTAGAAAACGAAATTACTTATTTTTAACCTTATTTTTCCAAAAAAATCATGAAAAATAATTTTACTTCATAAACTTCAAGAAAAATAATGTTATAATTCAAGAAATGCAAAAAATTTCGAAAACTGTAACTTCGCAAGAGCTCGTTCATGATGCAAAGGTAGCAGAATATAGTCAAAAGACGCTTCAATAAAGGAACTATTACTACTTTTCATTATCATTCACTCTAATATATTTGCTTTCAGTAAATATTCTTATGCAATTAAATTTTCTAAGCTACACAGCCATTTAGAGACAGAATTTGTGAACTTCAAAAGCTTCTTACCATTTTTTAAGTATTTCAAGGAAGTTATAACAATTCATGCAATGAAAATACTGAAATAGAAATTTTGAACTTTCCTGTCGATACAATTTCATTAGTAACTTTTTACTTTTAGAATTCTATTTCACGATATACCAAACTGTCAGTAAAAATGTGAATACTCGGAAACATTATTACACAAACAAAGAAAGATAGTATTATTTAAAGAATACAAAATATAGATATATAATATTGAATATATTCAGTAAAAATGTAATATCAGACTTTTAGAGTAGGAAAACCTCTTTTAATACTTATAAATTTAAGTGCTTACCTAGTAATGTTTATATAGTTTCGGATTAATTTCAATTTTTCTTTTTTTTTTTAGTTTTCTTCAGTATTTCCGTTCTAATTATTGCTATTTTACTTGTACATAATTGACCTTTCATAATAATATCATTACTTTATTTGAGTTACTGAATTTAAAACTAAGCAAATTGAACAATAATCTAATTTAATAATATTAAAAATAATCATATATACTAATTAAAGCTAAGCATCTTAAGCATATCATCTTGATGATTGATGACAGCAATTGACTGTCCAACGCTTAGCATGAAAATTGGTGGAGGATCTTTCAACGGCTGACCAAGAAAGCCGTAGATAGTCCTCGTGTTTTCTTGATATACAAGTGATGTGGAAACGTTTCTGGGCAATTGGAATAGACCATTGTCATCAACATTTCCATCTGCTGTTGAAACTGTTTCTCCATCTGGCGCGATATGGAAGAACATCCAGTATTGCCTTTCAAGATGAAAAGCGTAAACGTGCGAGTATTTCTCATTGGATCTTCCACCGATCAAAATTAAAACTGGTCCAGCTTGAACCAAAGAGGAACTGATTGTTCTTGTATTAACCTTAATACCACGCGGTTCAATTCTTCCCACTTCTCCAGTTTCAAGATTCAAAATCATCATTTCGGCATTTTCTTCACGTGAACCGCCATGAATATAGCATTTATTACCGATTCTAACATGTGAAAAACCTGTTCTTCCTTTAACATCTAAGGCAGCATTGGTCCAACATTTTGCTGCTGTATCAAGAATCGAAAGATCTGTAATATAATCACCGTTGTATCCGCCCCATATGAATACTTTATTTCCAAATGTTTCAACAAGTGGTGCAGTACGAGGAATTGGTATTGGGCCGGAAAATTGCGGACGACTAATTTCGAAAGTTTCAAGATTGATAATATGAAAATCAGAAAGATATTGCTTGTCAGCATATCCTCCGAAAACAACAATGTAATGAGCAAGTAATGCAGCACGACAACCAGATCTTGGTGAGATCTCTTCGCCATGTACTGGTAGGCGCGCCCACCTGTTAAGTTTGAAATCAAATGCCCAAACATCATTCAATGGTTGATTTTCTACTCCAAGTCCATAACCAATGTATAGCCGATCTTTTTCAGGATCATAAACAGAGAAATGAGATGCGCGTGGAGAGGGACTTTCTCCAACAGGGTTGACCAAACTCCAAATAGCTTGGACCCATCCTTTTAATAAAGTTGGATTATGAACGACAGCACAGGAAGAAATTGGCTGAACTACGGAATCATCCCCAATATCAGATCTATATCCATTCATTGGAGCATATTCATCAGGAGCAACATATCCAAATGCTGTTGGATAGGGATTTACAATACTTCCTTCGTTACCCATTTAAAATTTTATCTGATTTTTTTTTCTCACAAAGAAAATTTAGTCTGTTGACACCAACAACGAATTTTATCATATTTTACTACTGGTTTGATGATGTCTCTCAATTTTTGAATATTTTACAATTTGTACGTTTATTTCTGGATAATCATTAAAAATCAATCTATTAAAGTCATATGAAGAAAACAAGACAACATTGAAAGTACAGTATACATTGTGCGTCGCCTGTAGCCTACAGCTACAGTCACCAGCACAATATAAAAGTGACACTATACGGGTGCACATATGTACGCATATATGTGTAAAAATAAACGTTCATATGATCGTGATCACAAAGATCACGATCTGAGTATATGTGTTATATGAACTATTACTATGTGAGTGTTATATATGAGTGTAAAAAGATATGTTTGAGTATAAATTAAGTGTTTATTCTTAACTGTTTGTGGGGATCTTTAGAAGTTACCAAGGCGCCAGACTGCGTGCTTCAATTCTTTGTATGATGAGTTTGCAGTAATGAAGCGTTCGTGCCACATATCAGACTGCCTTCCCAACTGATCAACTCGAGATCTGAGATCAGAGATCTCTTCATCTTTGTAGTCGAGCTTGGTCTTGAGTAATGTTATGAACTCATTCTTCTGTTGTAGTTCCTCCGCCTGCTTTGTGATCTGCTGCTTTAGTTCCTCGAGAGCTACGTTTGACTCCTCCAGCCGCTTCAAATACTTGTGGCTGGTCTTGATTAAACGTAGCTCTCTTGGAGTAGCAGGAGGTCCGGTCTTCTTTGCTGTCTGTTTGTGGGGATCGAGGATCTTGATCTTGCCCTCTCTCTTTGCAGCCATGGGTATTTCCTCTTCTTCTGAGGATGACGAATTAACATCATCCTTGGCTTTGTTCGCTTCCATTAAAATGTAAACTTTACGTGTCAAAAATTTCTGTCACGTAAACTATTTATGTTGAGATTGAGTACCAGACATTAATATAAGTTCAACCATTATATTAGAGTCTTTAGGAATTTCATATGGTTCTTTTACATAATATTCCTTTTTTTGACCATCAGTTGATTCTTCAACTCTTTTGAATGAAAAGCGCTTATAAAACTCAAACACGAGTGCATCTTTATAACCAGTGATATCGTAAAATTTTGGTGGCACAAGCTGTTCATTCACATTACATATAAATTGTTTGTTATCATGAGCAATATTACTCAACGTTACTAAAGGCTCAAGGAGAGGATTTATTTTTATCTGATAACCGACAAATTTATATGTTGGTTTGCCCTTTCGTTCAAGGATAAACCTGATATTCGCTATAGTTATGAAAAGCTCATCAAAGTACTTATATGTTTTTTTATCTTTATCATTTTCGTCAGTGAAATCTGCTATGGTAAAACTATAATATACATGCATTCGCGAGATATATTTTTTTCCCATAAGTCTAAAAATTTTGCTTTCGATGGAATTACTTTTTGCGTGAATGTTCTACCATGGTCATCTTCCCAAACAAGATCTGGTTTTCTTGATGTTGTGTCTGTTTCAGTGGTTTCTAATAATGCAGTGATGAAATCCAACACATCTCCTAGGGACATGTCATATTTATAATTCAAGGCATTTTTTTCTATACTACTGTATGAAGGTAATGTTATGATTGGTGATGTACCTTTTCTTAATACATTCAATTTATTTTCATTTGAATCATAGTAACAATCAACAAATTCTCTACTTGCCTCAGTCATTTTTTCCATAAGACCTTCATTCAACTCCTGTGTAGTCATGTTGGGTTTTATGTAATATCTCATGTCAAACCTTTTTTTCACTGATTTTGATGAATCTGTCATTTCTAATGGAATAGCAAGAAACTCAAAGTCTGGATGCTCAAGACTTATCTTTCTTATCTCAAGAGCTTTTGACGCAGGATATTCAATGAAGTCTCTCGGTAATTTATATGAGACTGTATTACCACTTATCGTGCCATCAGTCATAACATGTTCATAGTATAATCCAGCATATTTAGACATTTTATATGTAACTAAAAGATGGAGAAAGTTATTAATCAAGTAGATAAGATTCTTCATGATGGAGCACGTAAGAATAGTAAAGAACTAAACAATGCACTCATTATGCCATTTTCTGATGATTATCCATTTTGTACTAATGGTGTTTATTTCTACTGCGGTAAGATGGGTTCAGGTAAGACATATGGTGTTATTCGTCATATAATGATAACAGACCGCTTCACTAATACTCCATATTATGACTCAATAGTTATCTCAGCAACATCAGGAACAATGGATAAAACAGCGAAGACATTTATGAGTCAAGTTAAAGCACCAGTACTGAAAAAGGATGATAAAGAACTTATGCCTTATTTAATGAAGAACGTTAAGATGAAAGCAAAGTATTACGCTATTGTTGAGTTCGTTCAAAGTAAGTTCGAAAAAATTTCAGAGGAGATGGAACACATCTTAACAAAGCATCAACTAAGGAAACCTGATGGAAAGTTTGAGTATAAGAAGATTGCAATATATGTTGTAAAGAAGTTGAACAAATATCCTTTCACAAAGTATCCCAGTAATTCTCTATTAGTGTTAGACGATTATGGTGGTCATGACTTATTGAATGACCCACGTTCACCATTAGCGAACTTCATCACTAAGGTCAGACATTATAACTATACTGTTGTCATCATGTGTCAAACATGGAGACATATATGTTTAAACATTAAGAGACTATGCACTGACTTCGTTATCTTTCAAGGTTATTCTATGAGAGACTTTCAGTCAATGATTGAACAGTCAGGAGCAACAGAAGATTGGGAAGAGTTATGGAACAAATACAAAGAGCTACCAACACCTCGTTCATATATGGAAGTTCATATAGTTGCAGGAAAGACGGACTTTAAAGAAGTTAAGCAACAAAAGATGACATTATTTTAAGAAGAAATAAATGGGTTTTGGCGATTATGTTAAAGCTGGATGGGGTATGGTGAAAAAAAATCCTGGTCTTGTAATAGGTGCTGGATTTAACATTGCTAACAAACTTTTCCCTCAAGTTGGTCAAGTCGGTGGTGTTATCGGTAGTCTTGGTGAAAGAATTGCAAAAACTACATTAGGTGAAGATAATGCATTAACGAAGAATCTTAAAGCATTCAATAAAGCTCTTGGTGGTGACTTCAGTAGAGACAAGCCTGTTGAAACACCTATAGTTCAACCTCAACAAACTATTGACAACAATAAGTATAACGCATACATTGGAGGAGCTATTTGGAACAATCATAAGCCATTAGTTCAGTCAGTACGTGTACTATCAGACATGCCATGGATTAATGCTATTAGTGGCACTATACGCAGATAATATATTTTTATGAGGTTTAAATGAGTGAACAAGAGAGGAAACTCATTGATGAACGAGTTAAGAAATGGGAGAATGAACGTCCGATAATTCGTACCATAATTAGCGATCAAAAGTTCAAGCAGCATACATTTGATTTTTTGCGCGATATATATAATGATCTTGCTTTTGATTACAATGCTAGGCAATACTTTGAGAAAGAATATGTTCAAAAAGGTCGTATTAATTTCCCAATGAGAAGAGAAGGCTTTTTGATTACATCAACATATACACCACGTGGTAGAGACCCTTTTACAGACGCGGTTCGTAACTTTAAAGTACATTCTTCTATTAATGATGATCCAGATTTCTACATACCTTATTTTCGTCCACCTTCACATCCTTTACGAACCAGTGATCCTGGATATGACGCTAAACGAAGATATATAGAGACGAAATTAGCTAAATACAAGGAACCTAAGGATCCAAGGACTGGAGAAGTAAAGGAATCACATGTCAAGATAAATAAGCTTTACAAAGTAGTTGAAGAATTGGAGAAACGATCTAGAGAGATTAACGCTGAGAGGAAAAAGGAAGTACCAAATATGAACAAACTAGATAAGATGATTAAGGAATATAGAGGATTGGCGAATACATCGAGTGTTCTAATGAAGGAGTTAGAAAACACGACAAAGCTGCAGAAAATAATTCATGATGAATTACTGTTAGGTGAATTTTCTATAAAACAAAGACAGAGTAACTTAATGGGTGAGGCTTATTATTTGGAGAATTGGTATAATGAGAGGTTAAAACAAATGTCGACTCCAACACCAACTCCTACACTACTACCACTCCTACAGTAGCTCCAACACCAACTCCTACACCTACTCCTACAGTAGCTCCAACACCAACTCCTACAGTAGCTCCAACGCCAACTCTGACACCAACTGCTCACGCAGGTCCTCCACCAATGTCGAGTAGTCATGGTATAACATTAAATAAACCAACACCTACACCAAAAATAACTCCTGTATCACATCCTAGTACAACTAACCCAGTATCTGATTCAAATCAAGCGGAAAGATCACAGGTTCTTAAAAGAGCTAATACACCAACAGCTTCACCTATTAGAACACCAGAGCCAACTCCAAGAATCACAAAGGCACCAACACCTTCACCGACTGTTGAACCAACTCCAGAACCTACAGTAGCTCCGACACCATCTCCAACTCCAGCTGAACCAACTGATGCAGAATCTATTCAAAATTGGTTAGACGAAGAAAAGCGAAAAGAAAAGGCTGCAATTGATGCTGCACTAGATAAAAACACACCATCACAGACACTTGGTGGTTACATGTTAAAGAAAGACAACATTCAAAGACAAGAACGTGCATTGAGTGTTGCCAGAGAACAAGCACAAGAAGAGAAGAAAATAGTTGAAGGAGAAGCTTCAAATAGAGGTGGTCCAGGAACTTACCAAGGATCAAACTATCCAGCAGAGAAAGCCTCGAGTGATAATGTTGTCTCAAGAGCTACTGATTTAGTTATCCATGGTATTCTAACTGGTGCAACAACTGTTGGTAGTGCTATTGGAACCGGTGTTGACACTGTTGTTGATACTGTAAGAACTGTTACAAATCCTACACCTGAAGATAGGAAGGAAGAATTTCTTACTCTTAATACAAAGGCAAAACCAGGGATATGGATTGGTCGTGGAATTTTAAATGCTGGTAGTGCTATTGGCAATGGTGCTTCAGCGGTAGGGGGATGGCTCGGAAGAACAGCAACATCAACCGCAAATGGAATACTAACAGGTGCCAAATCACTTGGTAATTGGGCTGATGATAAGTATACAAAATATTATGAAGAAAAAGCTCGTAAGGCTAAGGAAGAAGCTGAACGAAAGGCGAAAGAAGAAGCTGAACGTAAAGAACTAGAGGAGCTTAAGAAGAAAGAAAAAGCTCGTAAGGCTAAGGAAGAAGCTGAACGAAAGGCGAAAGAAGAAGCAGATAGAAAGGCTAAGGAAGAAGCTGATAGAAAGGCGAAAGCAGCAGCAACACCATCACCAACTCCATCTCCATCTCCTTCACCATCACCAACTCCATCGCCATCTCCATCTCCTTCACCAATACCAACTCCATCGCCATCTCCGTCTCCTTCACCAACACCATCAATAGCGGTTCCTGTGAGACGATTTGGTGCATGGGGTGCTGATTTAGTCAAAGATGCTGCACAAGGAATTGGAAAGGAACTGAAGAACACAACATTAGGTACAATAGAGCGTTTTGGTAATCTTACGGATTACACAATTAGATCAGCTGCTAATCTTTTATATAACCAGACTACTGATAACGGTACTGATGAATTGGCTGTAAACGGACTAGCATCAAATAAGAAATCAGTAGATGATAAATACGATGAATGGAAAAAGAATATTAAGGGTGAATATAATAAGTATGCATATCCTGAAGAACATATGAAGTTAGAGCTTACCAGACTAAGAGCAAAATATGGTAATGAAACAACAAATACTACAACGCAAACGACGAAAGCTGACAGAAAGATTGATGACACTCCTACTCCAACTCCATCTCCATCAGCAGAACCAAAGAAAGAAACTCCAACGCCAACTCCTGCAATGGCGAACATCACAACAATTGCTCCAAGAGTTCCAACAGGAGAAGGTATATCAGGAAATGTTTCAACTACTCATAACATTACTGAAGCAGCTAATGTTTCAGCAGTTGAGCAACCTGTTGTTAATGTAACTCAGGAAAACGCTACTGAAACATCAACACCAAGACAGGATGTAAATAATGAACGTCCAGAAGTTAAGGAGGTTGCAAAAGCATACCTGGAGAAAAATACTACACAAGTTCTTGAAGCAGAAAAGCATCTCAATTCAGACAAAACTCCAACACCAACTCCTGAAGCATCAGTTCCTCCAGCAATTGGTGGAAATATACCTTCAGTATCACCATGGCAGAAATTTTATGGATTGTTTAAAGGAGCGAATAAGGTAATGGATGCTGCTGAGAATCTCCAAAAGTTCAAGAATGAAGTCGCAACTGGTGCAAAGGAAATAGAAGAGAATGATAAACAAGCTGCTGAATTAGCTAAACAACAAGCTGAAGCAACTAAACAAGCAGCAGCTCCTAAACAATCTATATCTAAGTCTCAAGACAAGGTCCTGACCCAAGTGCTAAAGTCAAACAGAATCCAACACCACCTGCAGCAGAGAAGTCCAAGAAGGACAAACAAAGAAGGAAAACAAAAAGAAGACAAGGACAAGAAGAAAGATAAGGATAAGAAAAAATCGTCAAAAGATAAAAAACATAAAAATTTATCCAGTAAGAAATGAGTCAAGTCATTAAAGCATCAACTAAACAAAAGTGGTTAACTGAATATATAAAAGATGGTAAGGTTCCTGATGGATATTATGTACATACAATGAAAGACGGACGTGTACAGTTCCGTAAAGTCAAGCAACCTCTCAATGATGAACAGATCAGAAGGAAGATCTCATTGTATGAAACAAAAATAAAGGACTTACAAGCTAAACTCGAAACCCACGATACTTCTCAAGAAAACTAGGCATATCTTTAACATGACCTTCATTAATATTTTTCCTCCAATACTGTACTTCCATTTGTGACAACCTGTTTGGATTACCTTCACGCATACCTCTACCTGTCACTTTTCCTGTATTTTCGTTCTCAAACGTAACATCATACTTTACATCATTACCGACAAGTTCATGACCATCAATACTTTTAACAGCACCGTGTCTTCCTTGATCTAAAGTTTCTCCTTGCTTTAATCCATGCTCTATTTTTGTCCATATCTGATAACGTGGATATCTTGCAACACTTCCATCTTTTGCTCTTAACAAGTATGCACTTGTATCAACTGAATCAACTGTATAATAAGAAGGATCAAGATGTCTTCTTTGTTGGTTACCTTTACCCCATGTTCTTGGTTCAACTATGACTTGAACTTTTTGACCAGGTCTTAAGTTATAAAGGTTATTTTTTCTGACATACTCTTCTTTCAATCTTTGCTTCTTTATATATTCCTCATTATCCTTTTCTGTGAAATCATCAGGCTTTTGTTGTGTGCTTGAATGATATTCAGTGTTGTAGTCATTAATAATTTGTCTCATTGTATCTGCAGTGAAAGGTGGTGTTTTATCACCTTCTTTGAGGTTTAACTTCATATGTAACATAGTTCTAATAGTTCTACAGAACCTATTAATAATACCTAGTATGTTATGATTGTATTTCTGTGTCGTCATGTGCTCAATGTTATGACTGACCAACAGATCTCGAACATTTTGTGTCGTATAAGCTGGGTCTTCATCACTAGTAAGTATTGTAGGCTTCATTTCACCTGTAGCTTGTGAAATGAACTTCTGCATTGCACTTAGAACATTGTTTGAGTTCTTTTCACTCATTGGGAACGCATAACCTTTTCTACTGTTTACATTGATGAACAAAAGAAAATATGGTGGTGTTCCACCAGGATTCTCAAATGTATCGAATTGATAAGCTCCCATATCAGTTGAATATATTGGTAGCATCAAATCCTCTTGTATTAAAGTTTTTTCTTGTTTACCAACAGTCATTTTTTATTAACGTTAAAGTCTTACAGGCATTGAGTAATCGCTATAACCATCATGGTCTGCGAATTCATGTAATCTTGAAGCATCAGGTTCTTTCTTCGTTGGTGCATGAAACCTTGCTTCATCATAAAGGTTCATATAATGGTTTGTCACGTTTGGGGTAGACCCAATTTTTGCATATTGAGGATATGAGTAATGATACACTAAGTTGAACCCATTACTACCATCATCAACATATATCTTTGGTGGAGGTTGTCTTATTAAATTCCTTCCTCTTGGGGCTTTGAGTTGGACGATCTGATCTAGATCATTGTAAACAACTCCTGTTGCAGTATATTCTGTGTTGTTCTCTGGGTTAATGTTCGTCATTTATATGAGAATAAAACAATTTTTACTCATAACAAATGAGATCGAAGTCAATTCTTTATGGTGCAGCTAATCTTCCAATTGAACCAACAAGCAATGTTGATTCAAGAACAACTAATAACATTGTGATAAAGAACTATCCATCTGGTACAGTAAGTGATGCTCCAACAGAGATAAAAAAAGAGGAAACAACTACGAACTCAGAAGCACCAATGTATCCTCCTCCTTTAAGTCCATTAACTTCCAACCTGACCTCATCGAGATCTGTGGAGACTTCATCGAGGATTGGTGTAGAAGAGTATTTACTTAGTATATACCAGAAGATACTTCTTAGACAAGACAAAGAGCTCTTTTCTAACTTAGTGAGCAAAGATCAGATCTTACTACCTAAGCCAGACTTGGAAGAAGTTGTTCACAGAATGACTGGGTTCAAGTGTGAAATAGATACTGGACCCAGACATCACATGTGTGGTATTCCACCACCTTTCTCAAAAATAGCTCAGATCAGAATCATTGATGAGAACAATATTGCTCAAGAGTTTAAGTATGCATATAATGCTCAATATACTGAGTTAATAAGTAGGTATAATTTATGTCTTAAGTATGTTATTGTTTAACCAAAAAATTTTTTATCTAATGTTAAATATGGTTGTTCAAACAAGAACAAAAGCACAAATGTTTCAAGACTTACTCAATAAAACTTATCGTTTACTCAAGTAATTATTTTAGAACGTTTCGACGTACTCCTTGATCTTATCAAGAGCTTCGAGCATCCGCTTCTTTGCATTGTCTTGGCGAGGATGGCTTGCTCAATGGTGAGCTCGAAGGCTTCTTTACCGATCGGCGGTGATCGCGAAGATCTTTGAGTGCATCAAGAGCTGCAGTGTACTCTGATGGTAAATGGGAGCCATCTAGTAATGGGTACAAAATGAGCATGTACTCCTGTAGTAAGTTCTCCTGTTTCAAGCGGGACTTGAACTCTTCGCGGAGATCTTGAAGCTTTTGGAGCTTCTCAGTGGCTTGAAGGTATTCAATGATGACCTTCTCTTGTTCCTCAAGTGCTTGTGGGAGGAAGTGGACATAAGCTGTTGACTTCATCAAAAATGAAGTGGTCATGACACTTTTTAAGTTAATGTCCGAGCCATACAGTGATGTCGAAGCAGCACATGAACCAAAGAAGAAGTCTTGCTGGGAAAAGACAAAGATTGTTGGTAACGCAATCCTAGCCATTTGTGTTGTTTTGAACTTGATCGTACTTCTGATCTTGTTCTACAAACTCAACAGAGGTTATTGTCTCAAGTAAACACTTATTTTTATTACCATATAAATGATTTTTACCAAACCTCCTTTACCTTTCATAGGTAATAAGTCTAAGATCAGGAAAGATCTTATCGACATACTCAAAGACATCAAAGGGGATTATGTCTTCGTTGACCTCTTTGGTGGTTCTCTCTATATCTCTCATTGTTGCATATTATGTTCCCAAAAGCAACGATCATAGCTAACGACTATGATAACTACGTTGATAGACTGAAACACATTCATGACACGAATGAAATACTTAAGGAACTTAAGGAGAGAATAAATGTTAAGCCAGATGAGAAAATTCCTACTGATCAGAAAGAGATCGTCAGAGAAGTTATAAGTAAAGCTCCATACATAGACTGGGATACATTATGTTCACGTCTTCTCTATTCTGGAGCATACAAATACTATGATCTTGACACATTAATGAAGAAAGTGTTATACCTCAGATATACTAACTTATTTGGTGAAAACATAGATGACTATCTTGAAGGTTTAACTATTGTTCATAAAGATTGGAGAATACTCTTCAATGAGTATAAAGATCTTCCCAATGTTTTCTTTATATGTGATCCTCCATACTTCCATACTTATTCTATACAGTATGGAGATGAATGGACTCTTAAAGATACTGTAGAAACCTTTGATGTCATGTATTATCCATCTATTTACTTCAGTAGTGATAAATCTTATACAGAAGAACTTATAGAGATATTGACAAAAAGATATGGAGAGAAATTTTCTGAGAAAGCATGTTATAGATAGAGGTTTAATTAATCCTAACACTCAGAAAACAATGAAGTAATATATGTCACTTTTTCTGTTAATGGAGAAGAGAAAGATCAAGAGATAATAGTTGATGAAGGAACTGAATTTGCGAAGATATTCAACTTTGACGACGACGGAAAGCTCACATTCGTTGTCGATAAAAATGGACAACACTTACACAAAAGAAAGAGACCAAGAAAATTTTAGATCTCCCAAAAGCTAGGAAACCAAAGGAACCATTTCCGGTACCAGACGTCCAAGAACCAGAGAGACTTTTGATACCAAAACCTGTGGATGACAAATATGATCCAGATCAGTTCTTCCCAAAAATACCTAAGTCAGAATAAAAACTCCTTTATTTCTTTAGTATTATATAATAAGTCTATTAGTAAGCTCTGTTCTCGTTCTGTTCTGGTGTTTTGTCTTCCTTTCATGGTCTCGCATAATAAGATCATGAACTTTTTCTTGAGATACTCGAAGAGCTGAGGTAAGTTATCATACTCTGGGTATGTAGGAAGCATCTCTGCTATCGTAAGTGTTGTATCAATAAGGATTGGACTGATATCGGAAAAGTCGAGATCTGATCTCGTATAAGAAGGTAAGTCTCTAACATGCAGGTAGTCATTGTACGCTTTACGCATGAGGATTAACTTCTGGAGTACAACTATGAGACTTTGGTTCTGACGTTCAAGTTTGCTTAAAGTTCTCTCCAAGCTTTGTAATAAACGTCAACCTCTTTAAGTGTTGATATTTTTGCATTGATCTCGGAAATCTTTTCTTGAACTTCACCAAGTTTGACCTTAACTGACGTTTGAGCTCCTATCATGTTTTCATCAAGGTCATTCTCTATGTCATCAATGATATCTTCCCATGGAGTCTTGTTTTCATCATTGATCTTAACGTGAACACTCATGAAAAAAATTCAAAAAGTGACGTTTGTAAATGAATGTGTTTACTCTTGAGCTTCTTCTTTCTCAACCTGCTGGTCTGTAGGGTTTAATGTGCCATCACGTTCGACCAGAAGGTTCTGCTCAGGTCTGTCAAGGAGTTGTCTGTAAATCGTGAATGTTTCAACGAGTCCTTGGTATGGTATCTTAAGATCTATGTTCACCCATGGGTGTTTCGTTAAGAAAGCAGCAAGTGTGTCACGCTTTGAGTCAATGACATCTTTCTTATTGGTTAATCCTTCTTCAAAGCTTAGGATTACTCCTGCTGCAGCTTCAAGTCTTTGGATCTGGCGTCTTGAAACTTTTGTAAGTTGGATTGATCTATTGGTACTGAAGACATGTAGAAGATAATTCGAAACAACTTCGTTGATCTCAAGCTGACAGATCGGATGAAGTTCAGACATGGACAATTAGTACTGGTATTTATCGTTCCAGTACTTTACGTGTCAGTACAACTTGTGCCGGTACTTTATGTGCCAGTACAAAATGTGCCGGTACTTAACGTGTCAGTACAACTTGTGCCGGTACTTTATGTGCCAGTACTTTACGTGTCAGTACAACTTGTGCCGGTACTTTACGCGCCAAAGTATTCAAATTTGAGAGAAATGGCACAACTTGTGCCAGTACTTTACGTGTCAGTACAACTTGTACCGGTACTTTATGTGCCGGTACTTTACGTGTCAGTACAACTTGTGCCGGTACTTTATGTGCCAGTACAAAATGTGCCGGTACTTAACGTTCTAAACCGACGACCAAATGTCCCAAGACGTTTCAACACCAGCTCCAGCATCCCCAGCACCAGATATGATGGCAATGATGATGCAGATGATGCAACAGCAAACCCAGCTCATGCAGCAAATGCAGGAAAAGAAAACTTTCAACAAACCTGCAAAGAACTCACAAGATCTTGAAGCTGGACTCAATGCTCTCAGGAATGACTACAAGAGAGAGCAGATGACGTTTAGGAAGAAGGGTGATGAAGATTATGATAATGATCCGATCGAGGAAGACGAGATCAAGTCCACAGCATCCACAAAGACCCTCTAGGATGAAAGAGATGATGAGGGATTCCTTACCAAGTCTCAAAGACTCTTTGTCCTTGAGTTCTTCACGATCTCTGCCTTGAGATCTATGAGGAATTGGAAGGGTCGCGTTCCAAGTGGCTCAAACAAGCGCGAACTACTCATGACCGCAGTACCGCTCACTAAGACAAAAGTCCAGCTCATGAACTTTATCCTTTCCGCTTATCCCGACGAGATCTAAGATCTGATCAGAGTAAAAACTTACATTTATGAGCTTAGCTCAGTAATAATTAGTTGTTTATTCTTTCTTTTCATACTTCTGTGCAAGGTTTTCACGGAAGAACTCAAGCAACATTTGGATCTTTCCAAGCTTTCGACCTTCTTTTTCGAGGTCATCCTGGTAAGCATGGAATGCGTCAACGTGTGAGCTCGCATAGAATGCATCAACAACAACCTCTTCTGCATCTTCTTTGCTGGCAAGTGGCATGAACTCGAATCCTTCCATTGGACCAAATAAAAAGTGACAAAAATGTCAATGAGACCCACTCGTTTAGTTTCGATGAAATCATGACAAAACATTTACGTTTATGTTTGACAAAGCATTTACGATGAAGTCATGACAAAGCATTTACGATGAAGAAATCATGACAAAACATTTACGATGAAATCATGACACAACATTTACGATGAAGTCATGACAAAACATTTACGAAGAAATCATGACAAAGCATATACGATGAAGTTTTGACAAAACATATACGAAGAAGTCATGACAAAACATTTACGAAGAAGTTTATTTCCTGGACTGTTGTCTAAATGTAATGTTGTCAATAATTTTAAGAGAAGTTAATTAACCTTGTGACATGGTGACGTAGTGACACCTAAAAACCATCTACCCTAAACATTATTTTTGGTGTAAATTCAGCAACAAAATGAACGAGGTCAGGATGTATGCAAATACCTTTGAATTCATTCATAACGCCTTAGTAAGCTCATAAAATGCTTGTTTTGCATCACATTTTGACGAAGTGAAGATTTGCACTTCGTCAAAATGTTTTGCATTCTCTACTGTATCTTCGAGTTCTTCTTCATCTAACTTCTCATGAACTTTCTTGTCTATGGAGTCCATAATATCTTTGACATAAAATGCATACTTTACAGAGCACCATTCAGCAACAAAATGAACGAGGTCAGGATGTATGCAAATACCTTTGAATTCATTCATAACACCTTAGTAAGCTCATAAAATGTTTGTTTTGAGGTCGAGCCACTTTTGGCTTGACTGTATTCTTTCAACCAAAACTCAAGAATTTTCCTGCGTGAATTTTGTATAAAAAGCAACCGTCTGAATTCAGGCGGTTGTTATATTCTTCACAAAACATTTACGATGAAGTCATGACAAAACATTTACGACGAAGTCATGACAAAACATATACGAAGAAATCATGACAAAACATTTACGATGAAATCATGACAAAACATATACGAAGAAATCATGACAAAGCATATACGAAGAAGTCTTGACAAAACATTTACGATGAAGAAATCATGACAAAACATTTACGAAGAAGTCATGACAAAACATATACGATGAAGTCTTGACAAAACATTTACGATGAAGTCATGACAAAACATATACGTTCAAAAGAACTTTTAGAAGAATTTCCTCATATGATTGCTTCCCTCTGAAAACCGAGGGAAGAAATCATGACAAAAGATTTACGTTCATTACGATGAAGTTTTGACAAAACATTTACGACGAAGTCATGACAAAACATTTATGTTATACAGTAATGTTAGTCATGAATGTTTGTCCTACGTGTTGGCGTTAGTGTTGAAAAATAATGTTTGTCCTACATGAAGCCGTACAAGCGTTTGAATTTGTTTATGAATAAGATTACACTCTTGTTTTCTGTATCTATCATACAAACATAAGCAGCACCTGTTTTTGTAAAGTTTATATGAAGTTTTCGATAGTTAAGACCTGTATAATAATAGAATGCGTCCTCATTCTCAACATAGTAGTAGAACTCAAACGAATGCTTACCATAAGCGGTTATTTCAACAACTTCGTCAGATATTTCATCAACGAACTCATAAACTATATCGCCATACTTGTTTTTATTTCTATTGTTTTCAGATCTAGAACACCAACGAAGGTTTGAGATTCTGTTGTCCGTTCTATCATGATTTATATGGTCTATTTCTTTCAAATTGTTTGGATTTTCAATCCATTGTTCTGCAATAATTCTATGCTTTAAGTACATTTTGTTGTTTAAACTAAGCACAATATAACCATAATTATTTAAGCATTCACTCATAATATGTTTGTCTTTCTTTCGACGAATAGTAAAAGGATATGTCGTACAAATCTCATAATCTTCATGATTTCTCAATGTTTCCCATTGAGTTTGTTCCCCACTAACGTTCTCATTGACGTCCTCAATATCTTCTTCCTCACTGAACTCGTCAATATTTTCACTAGCTCCTTCTGTAATGTTTTCATCGGCATTGTCATTGACTTCTTCTGTAATGTTAGATGTTGTTGTTTCGCTCATGTTCTTTCACTAATTTTAAAAATTTATGTTGTACGAATTTTGAACAGAATTTAGAGCAGTTATGAAACAATGAAGTACTTTTACGCTATTGAAAGGAACTATGAGAGTGAAGTACATGACAGCAATGACAAAAGGAACTAATATCAAACCTAATGAAATCGCTCACGAGGACATAGAGCTTAACAAGTACTTTGTGGAGTATCTTATAAGTGAAGAGTATGTAAGACCTTACTTCATGTTTGACAGCATGAATGAGGATGTTATTTCATGGTTAAAGAATATAAGCAATGTTTTCGGTAAGTACGTCATAGATGACAAAGGTCTTGTTGTATTTTATGAGACAGCAATACGAACACAGGAACTAATGGATATTATGCACTCAACAGCAAAGAAAGGATTTAGTACTATTGGCATGAATGAACATTGCAGGAATGACATATACAACCTATGCTCACGAAAGCCTTACACAAAAGCAATACAAATGATAGAACATAAGTGTCTAAGGTCAGCAAATGAAATCATTACTGTCAGTGGTTATGAAAGAACTGTTAGCAAAGATGAGTGGAAACAGCTATTCATATTAAGGAAGGATGTTGCTGAACTAGTTAAACCTGTTGCACAAACATTGTTTCAGATAAGACCAGCAATGACTAAGAACCCTTTGACCTTAGTCAATGAGACCATAGAGGTTGAAGATAATGACATGAAAGAACTAGGAATGAATGAGAGAAGTTGTGAAGGATGTTTGAGTCAAAACACATGGTTCTTCAGAGCTGTTAAGAAACTTAGTAAAGAACGACAGAAATATTTTATAGAGAAGTATTGCAAAGGATGTGTAAATGAATTGCTTGAAATAGAACTTAGAGACACTTTCACACTAAAGGACTTGAGAAGAAATAAGTACATGAGTGAAGAAGGTATTGACATAGCTAGTGTTATAAATGACTTAAGAAGATGTGTTGTTGTTATTGACGGAGCACGTATGACATATCTAGTGAAAGATTATGATGGAATACGAGACACAACAACACTTGTGTCAGTAGATAGCAAGGAATTCAATAAGCTCATGAAGAGTGTTTATGTAGGACGTATTGAGGAGAAGGATGTGAACGCACTGATGATTTATGAAGCGGGTCAGAACAAGAACTATCTTATGAAGTTAGGCATGAGATTCTTTGACGAAAGAGATGACATTTACAGCTATTTCAGAGGATATGAGTATGAGGTACTGAATGAAGTAGATGAAAGCGTTATTGAAGGATATTTGAAACATGTTCACGATGTCATATGTAATGAGGATGAAGAGCTTTATGAGTATGTTTTGAACTGGTTCGCCTACATCGTTCAAAATCCTTGTGGAAAGACTGGAACAGTACTTTTGTTAATAGGAAAGCAAGGAACTGGTAAGAATGTACTTAGTAATGTTCTATGCGAGCTCATTAGCAAGTACGCCAACAATAATATAGCGGCAATAGAGAATGTGGTTGGTAGATTCAATGCTGCTATTGAGAACATGAAGCTCATCGTATGCAATGAACTAAGCTCATGCGATACGTCTAAGGTCATGAACCACGACGCACTAAAGTCAATAGTAACAGAGACTCAGTTGGACTTAAATCAGAAGTGTCAGCCAGTAAGAAAGATAGAGAATGTTTGTAATATCATCATGATATCTAACAACTTCAACTCAGTAAAGATTGACAAAGACGACAGAAGATTTGTTGTCATTGACGTAAGCAGCAGATACAAAGGAAATTACGAATATTTCTCAAATCTCATTGAAAGCTTTAATGAAGAATTTTATTCAAACTTACTGACGTACTTCATGAGGAAAGATTTAAGTGAATTTGATGTAAGGAAGATACCATTCACCAGGGCTAAACAAGAACTCATCGAAATGAACAAAACACCTTACCAAATGTTTTACGAGGAGTTCTATGAAAAGTTTGTATCCGGATGGAATTGTACAGAGTGCTACAGAAGATATAAAGAATTTGCGAAGGAGAATGAATTCTTTGCATGTAGTTCAAATGTATTTGGTGGCAAGATGAGAGAATTTGTGAAGAGAAGTAGAAAGCGAGACGGTTCTGCAAGAAGTTATATTTACGAAGCAAGTATGATATTAGAAGGTCGTGGAAAGAAAGAAACAGTGAATTATGAGGAAGTGCTTGAAAAATTCATGGAGTACATGGGAAGCAATATAACATACAACAAAGACATATACAGTGAGTTTAAGTACTACTGTGAACAGCATGAGATTGAAGTAATGAGTAAAGGAGACTTTGAAACGCTTATGAAAGACAGTGAGGAGGTCATACATGAGAACAATGATGAAATAGTTCATGAGAACAGTGAGGAGGTCATACATGAGAACAATGATGAAATAGTTCATGAGAACAGTGAGGAGGTCATACATGAGAACAGTGTTGAAATAGTTCATGAGAACAGTGAGGAGGTCGTTCATGAGAACAATGATGAAATAGTTCATGAGAACAGTGAGGAGGTCATACATGAGAACAATGATGAAATAGTTCATGAGAACAGTGAGGAGGTCATACATGAGAACAGTGTTGAAATAGTTCATGAGAACAGTGAGGAGGTCATACATGAGAACAATGTTGAAATAGTTCATGAGAACAGTGAGGAGGTCGTTCATGAGAACAATGATGAAATAGTTCATGAGAACAGTGAGGAGGTCGTTCATGAGAACAGTGTTGAAATAGTTCATGAGAACAGTGAGGAGGTCGTTCATGAGAACAGTGTTGAAATAGTTCATGAGAACAGTGAGGAGGTCGTTCATGAGAACAATGATGAAATAGTTCATGAGAACAGTGAGGAGGTCATACATGAGAACAATGATGAAATAGTTCACGATGTCGTTTGTGAAGAAGCCATTGCAACAAAGAATGAGATAAAGGATTTCATAGAACTTAACAAGGAGGAGTTTAAAGAAGGCTATGAAGTGAAAAGATGTGAAGAAGATTTCTTGGCGTATTTGAAGAAAAAGAGACTAAAGCCAATGGCTCAAAATAAGTTTCAATCGATGTTTGAAAAGAAACGTTTGAGCTATGGTGGTGTAAGAAGCACATATTACTTTGTTAAGAAGTGAGGACATTTATTTTTGTCGTTAGTGTTGGAGTTTGTGTTTGTTGTTAGTGTTTGTCATTTGTGTTGAGGTTAGTACTTGTCGTTAGTGTTGGAGTTTGTGTTTGTTGTTAGTGTTTGTCATTTGTGTTGAGGTTAGTACTTGTCGTTAGTGTTGGAGTTTGTGGTTGTTGTTAGTGTTTGTCATTTGTGTTGAGGTTAGTACTTGTCGTTAGTGTTGGAGTTTGTGGTTGTTGTTAGTGAGAGAATAAATTAAATCATGAACTTTGCCATGGTCTCTGTCCCTAGTAGTTTTCATTAAGTTCTGGAAATAATGAAAGTCATAAACTTTGCCATGGTCTCTGTCCCTAGTAGTTTTCATTATCTCACAGAGTTAATGAAAGTCATACTTTCTATCAGATGAAGCATGCAGATGAACATAATGAAAGTTAGTGAGTTTGCCACGAGTTATGAATAAAATATTGGCATATTAGATGAGATAGCTGATGAAACAGATGAAGATAAATTAAATCTTGGACTTTGCCACACTCTGTCCCTAGTTCCTCAAAATCCTTGACAACGTTGCTTAGAAATTTTGGTTCAAAACCTCATCTGATTTTAATCTGTTATGCTACCTGTTAAGTTTCGCGAGATTATAAATGTCATGGAGTTATATAAAAAGGAGGGACAGCTAGGGACACTGAAGAATATGAACTATTGTGTGAAGCACAGCAATGGGAAGCGCTGCAATACTTTTGTAAATGAGAACCTTAGTGGGAACGTTAGTGAGAACGTTAGTGAGAACGTTTATTTTTTTCATGCACGTGCATTGTGTCGCGGGGAGTTGCCATGGGCAATGACCTGCGCACAATATATAACGTACAGAGAGGTGAGATGAGGTGGTTTATGTGATAAATACTTTACGTGGCAGAAATAGTTTAAGGTTATTAGAAATATTGCATCTGTGATGTAAAATATACGTTAGCGGTTTTGTAAAGTGTCAGATTGACATATCTTCGGTAAGATGGCGCGCAGTGCCACCGTACTGAAGATATGTATACTAACTTTCATACCATCTACCACCAAATAAAGTGTTTGGATTTATTGGATTCATAGACGTATAAACAGCTCCTATAGGATATATTAAATCATATATGCTCATAGCTCTATAAACATATTCTAAAGAACTTATGTCATTAAATACCATTTGGAATGTATCTCCCGGATGAAATGTTGCATTTGTTCCACTTTTATAATGTAATGTTAGTTCAATAGAATTATCCAAGAAAAATTCAAAAGTATCTGGTTGAAGACCTCTAACAAATTCAAATGGAGTTGCTGGTTCACCATTTATAATTTCTGTTGTAAATGTCATTTTATCTGGTTTCCAAAATTTCGTTGTTAGTTCTGCATCCACATAAGTTTTGTCAGCTTTCTTATCTAACATTGTTGGTAGCTCATGTGTTTCAAAGTTTCTGACATGACCTTCAATGTTCCTGCAACTGTTATCTAAACTGTTAAGCGTGTCTTTTACGCTAGTGCTTGGATTCTCTAAAGGTGCACTTGAACCAAGGGTATAGTTCAATATTATGTCGTCTGCTCTTATTTTCTTGATTTGAACTGGTTGGTCATTATCAGCTCCTATTTTATTGATTATAACAGGTTTGTCTTCTCTTGAACGAATTGATTTAACTGTCAAAGGTTCAGTGAACTCATTATTTTTCAAAGGAATCAATGTTGTATTGATGTTTTCACCATTAATATATACTTCTTTTGTATCAATACCAGATGGGAATGAAACTCTTTCATTAACTTTAACTGTTGTACCATCACCTGGGTACATATCTTTCTCTGGACCTTTGATTGTCTTAAGTATGACAGACTGTGGTAAAGTATATTCTTTAGATACAACTTTACGTATCTCTTCGTCAACATAACTTTTGTCAGCTTTGTCTGCAATCTTAAGTGCAGTTCTTCCTCCATTATTTTTGTTCTCCTCAACTTTCTTCGCTAATTCAGCAAGCGAACAAAAGATGTAATCTATCCCTTGAAACTCTTTATCTAAAGTAATACTATTAATACTGATTGAATCATTTACACTCTTGATGAATTCTACAAATGATGGATATAATTCACGAAGTTTAAAAATAACAGTTGGAACATTAAGGTCAACTTGATCTTCTTTCTTATCATCTGCATCTCTTGGTATTGCACGTAACCAAGCAGTACCTAATTGCCAATACATTCTCGCGTTATGTATGGTAAAACCTACAGCAGATTTAGCGTTTATCAATACAGTAGTAACAAGATTTTTGAAACCTAGAGCAAAACCACCTTTACCACCAGGTATTAACTCTAAAGCTGCAGTGACTGTTTGAATACCATCTCTTGCACCAATAAAAGTCCATAATGCATTAATTTGACCTTGTAATGATATCCATGAGGCTGCAGTAGCTCCGGCGTTTGCTATGTCAAAGATGAATGATAAAGGATTGAATCTAAGACCAGATTCTTTATCTTTGACAACTTCAACGAAGTCATTGATATTTTTCTTCAAGTATTCCTTAGTCAGAAGAACTCCATCGCCAGCTATACGAGTTGCTTTTGTCTTTCCTTCAGCATCAAATGTGATTGGTTTCTTCAATAAAATAACTTTTGGTGTTGTACTGATACTATCATTAGTGGAGAAAAATTCTCCAGCATGACTTGTTAAGTATTCTTTCGTCAATAATGTTCCATCACCAACAATACCAGTTGCTTTTGGTCCATCTTCTGTGAATGTCAATGGTTTCTTTAACATAACTTTATCTAAGTATATTGCAATACCACTATTTTGTACTTGTTCATGACCTAATATATAAGCAAATGCTGCGTTTAAAGCATTATACAATGTATCTTCTTTAAATGTTAAATGACTGTTTTCAATCATTGGTATATTGAACAGTGTAGACCTTGGGTCAAAATGAACTCCATGGTCAATCGATAATAACCGTTTGACATGATATATTATAGGGTGTCCAAAGGTGTGTTTAGCACAAACCTGAATACTGCGAATAGAAATAAACAAGTTACATATATATAAAGTTTATTTAAATATAATCACCATTGGATTCAATCACGCGTTCGCAGCGATCGATCCAGGCTTCAAAGACACGCTTTAAATCATCATGAGAAAATTGCTCAAATTGCTCTCTTACAAAATTTTCAAGATCATCTGGACTCGCGAATTCGCGTCCTTCAGCTCTCTTTTTTAGCGTGCCGAATAAATAAAAGTCAGAGGGTGCAATATCAGGTGAATAAATTGGGTTTGGAACAACTTTGACATTGTTTTCCACCAAGTAATTCATTACCTTATGACTTTTGTAAACTCTTGAATTATCAAAATGAATTGCAAACTTTTGTTTTTGTTGTTTGGATTTCTCAAACTCATCAGAATTGATAATTTGAGTAAGAACATTGTCAATTAGATACTGAGCATTCATCGTATTAGGTTTTTGAAGAATATCAATTGCGATGATGCCATTCACGCCCCAAAAAACCGACAACATCATCATTGGTGTGTCAATTTTTTTCTTCGGGAATGTTTGCGGATTTTCATCCTTCGGGATCCACATGATTTTGACTTCTGTTGCATATTGAAACTAAGACTCGTCCCCTGTTACTAAAAAGCGAAACTTCTTGGATTGATACGCACCCAATATAGAGAGGAGCTCTTTCGAAGATTGGACTCTAGATTTTTTTTGAACTGAATTAAGGTTGTGCGGAACCCAACGTGTATACGCTAGTTTGTAGTTCAAATAATTGTGCAGATAATAACTGACTGTTGTACGTGGTATCTTTGTCATCTCCTCTATCCTTCTGAGTGATGCTCTTGGGTCTTCATCTAGCGCTTGAAGAATTGCTTTGATTTTTCTTTGATCCGGCGATTTTTTGTCAATTTTTATGATGGGCGCCTTTTTGTTCATGAAGTGATACATCCTAACATGATACGTTACAGTGGAATAGCTAGGAGCATCCATACCGAAGCATTTTACCAATGTCTCGTAGATTTTTTTACAGTCTTTGCATTTTTTTGCAAGAGCGAGGATGTTTTCTTTATGATTCATTAAAAAAATGAAAAAAATCCCGCCAAAATTTCCCGCGAAACCGCCTCTTGTCTCAAAATTCATTTTATATCCCGGCATGGCGCCAAAATACAACATACTCATCATATACATATATTCATATTTTTTATTATATATTTATAATCAGCATATATCTCCTTTAATAGTCTCATATAGAGCGCTGTGCTAAACGCACCTTTGGACACCCTATATAGTCTCTAATGCTTCATTAATATTTATCTCTCGAGTTTCTTGCAAACCATTACTCGCCATACATGAAAACATATAGTCCTTATCAGTTCTGAAGAATGGAGCATCTAAGTAATTATTCTCAACTCTTGTCACACGATTCTGCAACTCTTGAAGGTATTGACTTATGTCTGTTTCAACAATTGTACCATCTGGTTGCTCGATAGGTAATATACCAGGACCAATGGTAATGTCTTCATCATCAGCACCTTCTTTATGTATGACTAAAGCATTATCAGTAATCCTGAGAGTATATTCTTTATATTGAAGTACGCTAGACTTATAACATTCATAAGCATATGGAACAACACTCATTCTTTTACTACGTATAAAAATGATGTATTATCTACAATTGACTGATCCTAATAACTACGGGACAATACAGTTTCAAGCAGATCCTAACATGGGACATCCAAGTAAGATAAAGATGAGAGTAAAAAGTGTCAGTACTATGGCGAACTTTATTGTTTGTGACGAAACAGATTATTTTGTCTTACAGATAGACTCACATAAAGATCCAAAGGTGTGTACATTTAAGTCAGCTCTTTCATTTGATATGGATACTATTGTATCAAAACTACAAGAGATTGTAACAAAACAGTTTGATTATTATAACATGAAAAAAGGTCAACATAATGTAACAGTTTCACTGAGTGCTACGAATCAACTTAAATTTACAACACTATATGATGTTACTTGTCAAGTCTGTTTATTAGATGCTTCACATAGAGCAAGACTTATTTTAGGTGCATATGGAATAGAACTACCTATTATATCAGATAATGAACTAAAAATGCCAAAACCACCTATGTTCAACTTCGGGTATCAGTTATATCTTCGTTCATCAATGTCTGTCATCTCTGGGTTCAATAATATTGACCAAGTTGATGATCGAAGAAAGATCATGTACAGATCTACATGTTATAACATCAATGAGTTCTGGATACCTGGTAAACCTCTTATATGTAAGGAATCCTCACCATGGATAGATGCATTTCCTTGGGAACTAACTAATGTTACGTTTACTTTAGTTGACTTCCAAGATCAGCCTGTACGATTATTGTCACCAATGTTTATGGTGATAGAGATTAAACCAGATAAGCCAGAAGTTAGAGAAACCAATGATACAGAATCTTCGTACGATTATGATTACGATGACGATTAAAAAAATAACGTATATTTTTTTATCGGTTATAAAAGACCAACATGCTCAATGCTATAAAAGGATTAGTTAATAACCTTTCACCAGAAGATAAGAAAGGTATGCTTGATATGTTTGGGATCAAAATGCCTAAGAAAGCTAAAGACATTACCAATAAATTAGCTCTGGCAATTAAGAATCAAGGAGGTACAGGAAGTGTAGCAGATATTTTCAAGAATGCTAAGAGCTTCTATGATGACTACAATGGTATCATGAGTGTTCCAGCCTCAAGTTCCCCAGTTGCTTTAGATCACGATCAGAGATCTCATAATAGAGCGTTAATGGAGATGCAACCAATATACTCAGACCCTCCACCAAAGATTGATGAGAGCGAATTAGCATACAAAGAAATACAGAATGCCTTTTACGTTGTTAAGAACATTAATGGTCAAAAACTTCCTGATGAGAAATGGTTAGACCCAATAACTAAAGCAGGAGAAAGATTCATTATGTTTAACATTGACCAATACAGTCCAAGAGGAAAAGATTACTTCAACAAGATGTTTCCAAGAGTTATGGCAAAGTTCATTGGACAGATAGACCTTTTCAAACAGAAGTGGACATTCTATTACGACTTTGATGAGAAGAGAAACATTTTGCGTCATTTGAACATCAATACAATGGGATCATTAGTTCATCAGTTACTTAATGAAGCTCCAATAGCAGAAGTACAAGAATTAGCATCTAAAGTCCTTGAATCAAACTATGACTTCTTCCTTTGTAGTATTCCTTCGTTAAGGAAGATCGAGATCTTTGACTATACAGCTTATTCAGATGTTGATGCTTCTGCTTTGAGAAAAGGAACGTACACACCATATAAACTCACAGCTGAAGAACAAGTTATGTTAGATACGATGAGAGCAGCAGGTCAAGAAAAGATCGCACTCAAGATCATCAAACAAAACCATTCAAAGAAGAGAAACAGGTCACGTAATGGTCAGCTTTGGACATGGACATGCAAATTACCTATTAACTTAGAGAGGTATCAGATCTTCAACGAACTTAATGCAGAGACAGCAAAGAAGATGATGAAAGATTCATGTTTCATCTACGCTTGTATTCAAGCTGGTGTTGACGAAGCAACAATTAATCATATGAGGGAAATCATTCGTGTCAAAGATTTTCCAATGTCAAAGATTAAGGTTATTGCCAAAGAAACAGGAATAAGGTTCCATGTCATCAAATACAACGAGAAGTATTCAAATCATTCATATACTTATGAACCAGATGAAGAACCAAAGATGACAGTAGAACTTTTATTAATGTATGACCACTACATGTTGAACGAAAAGCTTCCAATAAGTTCAATGTTCATCAAGAACTATGAAGATGTTTGTAAGTTGTGCAAGGATTGGACTTTAGAGAAGAAGATGTTAGTTAACAGAAGATATGAAACAAGGTATGCAATTAACTCAAAGTTAGTTACACCACTTGCAAAAGTCATTGAACTCTTGTTTGCTAACAATTATTTCGAACCAATTAGAACAGGAGAACTTTGCACATACTTCACAACGATGTATAATGAGAACCTTGAAGAAATGATTGACCTCACATACAATGAGCGTTATTGCGCAAGGATGAAGAAAGATTGGAGTTCAGAGACGAAGAAAGACATGAAGTTCCCAAGAGAACATGTTTTCTTTGCTGACTTCGAAGCATCAACTGATGGAAACATTCACAAAGCATACAACATTTGTTTCATGGAAGATGACGATGATGGTTATACATCAATTTGGGGAAGTGACTGTGCGTCAAAATTCCTCGAAGCTTTACCAGATAAGAGTTTAGTTTATTTCCACAACTTATCGTACGATGTCACTTTTCTCATGTCTCAGTTAGAAGAGATTACAGGAACTCCAATCATCAAAGGTTCACAAACGATGCAGATACAAGGAAAGTACAAAGGAAAACTTCTCTGCTTCAAAGACTCTTATGCAATCATCTCAACTAAGTTGGAAAGATTCCCTGAAATGTTTCACCTCACTAGTGGTGAAAAAGAAGTTTTCCCATATAATTACTACACGGAAGAGTTAGTTAATACAACTAAAGTTGGTAACATCGATGATGCCATGAATCATGTCAAAGATATTGAAGCTTTTAATGAGAACATTGAGAAGATTGAAGATTGCAAGATTGATGATGAACACTTTGACATGGAAGTTTATTCGTCATTCTATTGCGGTCAAGATGTACGCATTTTACGAGATGGCTTTCTTAAGTTCCGCAATGACCTCATGACTGAGTTTGAAATAGATGCTTATGATTATGTTTCAATAAGTTCTATCTCAAACAAACTCTTTGAGAAGAGAGTATATTGGAAGAACGGTAATCTCTTTGATCTTGCAGGAAAACCTCGTGAATATATTTCCAAGTGTATTCAAGGAGGAAGATGCATGCTAGCTGAGAACAAGAAGCAATACAATGAAGGAGAACTCATCACTGACTTCGATGCTGTATCATTGTATCCATCAGCAATTGCTAGACTTTACTGTTTAGAAGGAATTCCAAAAGTTATGACAGAAGAGATGAAGAGCAGTGAATACTTGTTGGAGCATCTCTTTGATGATGACCAAGCTGAACCAACAAAGGAAAAGTTCATCTCAGGATTTTACTGTCAGATCGAGATCTTGTCGATCGGTAAGAACTCAGCATTCCCATTGATTGTCGTCAATCCTGACATCAACCCTGACTTACATGTTGCCAGAAGTTCCAATACATGCTGCAAGATGTTCGTAGACCACATTACGCTTCAAGATCTGATCAAGTTCCAAGAGATCTCATGCAAAGTCATTGATGGATACTATTATGATGGAAAAAGGGACATGACAATAAGGAATGAAGTTAAGAAGCTCTTCGAATTACGTGCTAAGTATAAGAAGGAAGGTAATCCGATACAAGAGATCATCAAACTTCTTTTGAACAGTATCTATGGTAAGACGATATTAAAGCCCATTGACAAAAAGATTCGTTTCATCAAGGACAATAAGCTCACTGACTATATCATTAAGAACTATAATGACATACAGACAATAGAGTTCATCCCCGATTCCGAACTTTCATGTGTAAAGTCATTTAAACCTATCGTTCGTCACTTTAACTATTGTCCATTAGGTGTTTCAATCCTTTCTATGTCCAAACGAATCATGAATGAAGTATTCTTCACAGCAGAAGATTTGGGCTTGAAGTTGTTCTATCAGGATACAGATAGTTTACACTTGTATGAGAAGGACTTAGATAAGTTAGCAGAAGAATACAAGAGAAGGTATAACAGAGAACTCATTGGAAAAGCACTGGGTCAATTTCATTCAGACTTTGCAGAGATTACTGCAGGACATATGTCTAAGGCACAAAGATCTATATTCGTTGGAAAGAAGACTTACCTCGACGAATTAACCAATGACCTCAAGGAAATTGCTTTCCACTGTCGAATGAAGGGAATCACACAGGACGTAATTGCACTTACTGCAAACCAAATGTTCCCAGATGCGATACAAGTACATTATGACGAGAAGAAAGGTTTGTTCTTCCCTGAGAAAGTTGGGGAAAAATATAGCATCGTGGAATTGTACAAATCTCTTTATGAAGGTGATGAGATAACCTTTGACTTGTGCATTGGTTCGAAACCATGCTTCAACAAAAATAAGGACTTCACTATTTCAACGAAGTCATCTTTTGAACGTAAGTTAAAGTTCTAAACACTTACTTATTATTTTTCTTAGCTTCTTCCTCTTCTCTCAATTTCTTTGCAATCATTCGTGGATTCTTTGCGCGTCCAGCTGCTAATGCAGCTAATTGTTTCTCTGTGAGTTTACGCTTTGGTTTAGCTGGTTTCTCTTCTTGTGTTTGTTCTTTTGGTTTGTTCGGTTTGAGTTTAAGTATTTCTTCACGAAGTTCATTCTTGAGTGCTTCTCTGTCGAAAGTATTCTCAGTCATTTTGTTAGGAGTAAAAAATTTTATTAGGATAGAAATGACGTCAAAACTTTCACCAAGTGAAAAGCAATCAATCATATTGAATGAAGCTAAAGGAATACAACATCCATTATATTATGTTTGTCATATGAAGAATGGTTCAGTTCAAGTTAGAAAGAGAAAGGCACCATTGAATTCACCAGCTCCTGCCCCAGCTCCTGTTGTTCAAGAAGCTCCTAAAGTTGATGAGAAGAAAGAAGAAGAACAAGCATATACTAATAAAATGTTGTTAGAGATGATGACAAAGATATTAGAACGTAACAGTGTAGTTAATGAACCAAACATGGACCCAATTGAACGTGAGAAGGAAACTAAAGAGAATCAAGAATATGTTCAATCAATGGAAGAGAAAAGAATACACTTCGATGATGAACCAGAGCCTGAACCAGAACCTCCTAAACCTCAGCCACAAATAAGACGAATAATCCCAAGAATAAGAAGATTGTAAATTTTTTATAGCTGAGAAAGATGTTGAACGATAACCTCAATACATACAGTATTGCTGATTCCATCAGACAAGTAAGATATTATTTCGATCAAGTTGATGGGGCAGTTCCTATTGGAGATACTAACCATAGATATGTCCCAACAAAAGTGCCAGCTATGCCGACAAATACTATTGATAACGGTTATATTACATTTAACATATCACCACCTGGTGAGAACATGATTGACTTATATAATACGTTCATTAGTGGTTATGTCGATGGTGAGTGCTTAATTACAACAGAAACTGAACCAACTGATGAAAAAGTTCCTAAATATGATGGTGAAGTATATAAAGAAAGAGCTGCTGAGACCGCTCCTACAGGATCAAATGTTACAGCAATTAAAGCAATTGATACTAAATATGCTGGTGGCAAATCATGTGCACATCTTCCAGCAATTTGGTTGGGATACATTGATTCATTCTATGCTGTTGAATCATATCAATTAATCGCTAATGGTAAAAGTGTTTATACACAAGATAATGCTAGAGAAGAAGGTTACATTAC